CAAAACCCTTATATATGGAAAAAAAGAACCAAGAGTCTAGCCAGCGGGAACAGGATGTATAGCTGGATGTACAGGGTGACCAAGAATTACCGAAACAACGTCGTATTATGTTATGAGCCCCATTTCACTTTTGCTTCCTTTGTTTACTTTTTGCTTGTTTATGGTTTTTGTGTATTTTTCTTATTCTATGGTATGATTACTAACTTTCAATACATTAGTATGATTGTTTTCAGGTATGGTGAAAGCGTCTCCACATCGACAATCGATCCTTGAGCTCAAGCGGCAGCGTGTTCAGGCGGCTGCGGGCGAGCGAGATCTCAAAGCGCCTGAATGTCCCTAGAAGCCACGTTCTCGAACCATTCAACGTTATGAAACTCTGGGCACAGTTTCTGATCGATCAGGATCTGATCGCCTGAAAGAGGTGCAAAACGAACAGCGGTTACTCCGGCTCATGTCAAGAAAGTGCGCGATCGTCTAAGATTAAACCCTAACCAATCGGCTCGAGGAATGGCACAGGAAATGGGTCTGAAGAGAAGCTTCGTCAACACAATCATCAAGAAAAAGCTGAAAATGAAGCCGTACAAGAAGAACAAATTTTTAGAGATGGGCTGCATATTTGGTTAAGCCAGTTAAGGTGAAGCCAGGCCTTTTGTTGTGTTGCGGTAATTCTTGGTCATTCTGTATAGTATATGTCGTAGCCGATTATGAATGAGTGGGTCTAGGCGCGTCAACCATAAAATGTTTGGTATCATTCAACGCAGAATCATTCATAATTACGTTACATTTTTTAAATTAGAAAGATTGGATAAAAAGAAAAAAATTACGGAGCTTCAAAGTTTTCTCTCCAACAAACAGTTTTTTGCTCTAATTTTTTTTCTTTTTATTAAATCTTGCTAATTTAAAAAATGTAACATAATTATCAATGATTCTGCGTTGAATGGGATCAAATACTTGATGGTTAGACGCGCCTAGACCCATCATAGGAATGACATAATCGGCTACGACATATACATACAGTACTGGACAATGAAATATCATATTTGAAAAACGAGTAGTGTACATCCAGCGTCACAGTAGTGTACATCCAGCATCACAGTAGTGTACATCCAGCGTCACAGTAGTGTACATCCAGCGTAGTGTACATTCAGCGTAGTGTACATCCAGCGTCACAGTAGTGTACATCTAGCGATACATCCTGTTTTGCGTAACTGAGTGTATCGAAACTGATAAATCAGCCAGCTGACTTATCCATCAGCTGGCTGAAGAACGAAAAACGCTATTAAAAGCTATCATGCTAATCCTATCATGCTAATCGATCAATCTTGGCTATAAAAACCTCAACTCATTCAGTCCATATAGTATCGAGCTGGCGTTGAGGTCAAACATTTAAACGAATCAGAAATTCCCTTTTGCCACTGTATCTTTGATGTGCAGGATTGCAGAAATGGCTGGTAATCCCTTTCAAGCAAAGAGTGAGAGAAAGGAAGTAAACTATTTGCTTAATAAATTCTCTCAAAATTCTCGCTTCAATGATCTCTGTTTGTGTGCCTTAAGAAATCGTTGGCTATTCGTGGATACCCTTTCACAAAAATGTGCCAAAGTTTGAAGAGCAACGAATCAAGGCTGAAAACTTTTCAAATTGCAAAATGCAGGTCCGTGTTTGTTTTTATAAGGTGAGAGAAATTGAGACGGAACAGAATTCTGGTCGTTGAAAAGTCAACTTTAGACCAAAGTTGATGGAAAATTGTAAGGAAATCAAAACCAAAAAGAAGAAAATCAAAAGAAGACATGTGCCCAGTGTTTCGGTTGATTTGAAAAAGATTTTCGTTGCACATTCAATTTAGCATCAATTTAGTCAGATGCTCATTGAATTGAAATCTGAATTCGAAAATTGAATCATTCATTGAAACGGAGAAAATGATTAACAATAGGTGGCGTTCAGCAGTCAACCTTCTAGATGTCACGAACTCTCCATCACCTTTCGAAATGAGACTATGCTTATTCGATTGGAAATTTTTTTTTCTCTCCAAATATCATAGTTAAATGTGTGTTAAGGGGGATGAAAGAGGGTAAAAATGACTTCAAAGTTCATGATGTTTGGAAAGCGGTTTTTTTAAATCCCTGGTACACCATTTTCGTCACTAGTGGCTACGGAGGTCCTAAAAGCGAGCTGTGGCCCTGGTGGTTAGTGTGGCTATGTGATACGCCTTTGTGCTTAGTAGTTCGATTCCGTGTTACCCTCCTTTTCGCTCTTTGCGGCAAGCCATAAACATACATTTTAAAACTTAGTTTTACTAATTCTAAGTTGCAATCCAATTTGAGATGAGAAGTGGAGTTTCTCCGGGATTCCTCTTTCGTAGTAGGATTTTGGTTTGTGTGTGAGACAAGTGTGAGACTCAGAACCCAGGACCGGAGATGGGAGACTGGAGATCCCAGTTGAGTAATTTCTTCAAAAGAAACCACAGTTGGTGGTCAATGGAAGCGTGTAGAGAATTAGAAAAATTAGGCTTAAGCCAAATTTTCAAAAGGATACACTTAGTAGTTTTGCTTTAAAATGCGAGCTTGGTGTACCAATTCGTAACTTGCGAATTCCTTGAAAACTTTCAGCTTTTGAATCGTTCCGGAAATAGGGATATAAGCTTCGATTTTCGACTCTCTCTACAACTTTTCATTGACACCAAAATGGGTTTCTCTCTTTGAAGAAAGTGCTTAAAACCTGTCATATAGCACGACAATCGTCCGGCAGTTTTCAATTCACCAACCCAATAGTAAGCTTTTATGGTGGATGAAAAGTTTTGCAAAAGAGAATGTACTTCCTCAGCAACAACTGGAAATAAACAGCTACCTTATCATTCTCACAAAATCGTTTTCCCTTCCGAATGTAGTCGACGCCAATTAGGAGCCCATCAGCCGGCAATTTTGATCGGCTGTCGTGAAATCCACATTGAAACCACCTAAGCATCCTCCAATACGGTCAATACGAACAGCAATTTACCCTGTAAAAAAATTTCTGAGTCTTTCGGGAGCAGACCCAACGGGTTGGACATGGTGAATAGAGGGAGAAGTAAATTTCTGGGAAAACCAGTTTTGAATCGCTCTGAAAATTCGGACATAGGCCCAACTCTTGGATTCTTACAACTTTTCTATTGACACCAAAATGGGTTTTATTTGAAGAAAGTGCTCAAACTGGGACATCTCCAGTCTCCATCTCCAGTCTCCATCTCCAGTCTCCATCTCCAGTCCTCCATTTTGGAGTCTCACACTTGTCTCAAACACAAACCAAAATCCTACCACAAAAGAGGAGTCCGCAAATGCCTGTAAATGGGCAGAAGTCGTCAATAATAATGGAAATTATTTGGAATGAATTCATGGTTTTATGTTGAATAAATTTTGAGTTCAAAGTCTGGCAGTTTTCAATGCACCAACCCAATAATTACAAAGTTCCACAACAAGCTAGAGCTACACTGGGCTGGGTCTATATGGATGAATGATACTTCAATTGAGTCCTACCTTCGAAGGGTTCTTAGTGCTCCACCATTTGGAAAACCATTAATCGTCTGGGACAACTTTTCTGTCCATAAATTTTAGTTTAAAGTCCGGCAGTTTTCAATTCACCAACCGAATAACTATGATATTTGGAAACAGAAATATAATTTCCAATCGAATGAGCTTGATCTCATTTCGAAAGGCAATGGAGAATCCGTGAGCATCCCTAGTTAGTTCTTGCTAAATTGTATCTTCAAAAATCTTGTAATTGAACTTTTCTCGAATGAGGACTTTTATTGAACAAAACAGTGACCAAATCTAAGCTCATTGTTGATAGAAATTCAACAAAATCTGTTTCCATAAGTCTTGATCTCAGTTGCTGGCCGCATTCACCTACCAGCAACGCTTCGGCCCGCCACCGCCCATCCGCTCGCCACCCCTTTCAAAGCTGTTTACATAGTTTTTGATTCAAACAGCAAAATACCAAAGACGAGTTGGTGAGATTTCTCTTGGACAGCAGCATTGAACAGCAGATTGTTTGCTCAATCTTTGGCCACAAGAAATGATCGGATAGAGTTATTTACAACTACCATATTGGGGGAAAAAGATGGATATATAACGTGGAAAGAGTCAAAGAAAAGCACACAGAGAAAAGCGAAAAATCGACGATAAATATTAACCCGTTTTACTTTAGGAAACTCAACTTTGTGCCCTATTTAGCTCATCTTATTTTTGAATGTGTTTTCGTTTTTTAAAGCCCTGTCTTTTGGGCTGATTTTTGTCTCATTGAAGGTCATTTTTAGGGCATATTCGACCTAGGCACCGATTCTAAAAACAACATTTTACCGAAATCTAACTGTAACTTTATTTGATTGCGCTTTTCTCGAGTCAAGTTAGCGATTTCTTAAACACTAAAGCTAACCAATGGGAATAAACCGTTTTTTGACGTTTAAGTGTTAATGAATTGCTTTCGGATTTGAATCGATCGTAGAATAATAGATACTTTTAAACATCATCAAAGATCAGTCACAGGAAATCAAAGAATTTGACTAGACCGACGCTGACTCGTTGAAGTCCAATACTAGATTTCTGGAACTTTAATCAACTTGAGTAATTAGGAAAGTTCTCTACTTGCTTTGCAGTTTTGTTCTCGCAATCTTCAAAGTTGCTCTTGTCGCACAATGAAACAAATCTCTCACAGAAAGCGCTCGAAAAGCTCTCAAACGAGAAAAAAGAGATACTTTTTGAATAAACTTGAATTCGATAGCATAGCATAACAGTAAAAGATTGTATAAAATAAGATAAAGGAGATAAAAATAAGCTAGCTAATAAGATAGACAAGCCTCCGATTCTTAAAGTCATCTCTAGAGATGAGATTATGCATATAGCCATCAGAGTAGAGCCAGCCATGCCCATTCAACTTGTCTTGAGCTTAGTATTGGAGTTTTTTTGTATTTCTCTAGTTCAAGTTTCAAAATGAACTACACATTGAGACTAAGGCTTTATTTAGCGCCATGGCAGCCATCAAAGTGCCCGAGTTTCCGAAAGCAAAGCTGTTGGGATCGAGATTTCGTTTTGCTCTTCTCATCCTCCTTTTCCTCGTCTAACGGCAATTTGCGGGTTTTTGACAATTATTACAGAATTACACACTCTTGGAGACCTTGAAATGAAACTGCAAGTTCTTTTGTAACTCAATTAACTTCAGGTCGAATATTCTCACCTATAACATCGCCATCGTTTGCATGTCAGCCAACTCGAGTTCCAATCACGATGTGCACACACGCATTTTCACAAACGGTCAGTTTTTCACCCAAATTAGCTTCGATCTCGTAGATTGAGATAATTTGGTAGAATTTCGCTATTGAACTCCTTGTCAACTTTAGATCTGTTTTCGAAACATAAAAGTCTATCTGTCGGTTTGTCTGTCTGTCCGTCCGTCCGTCCGTCTGTCTATGGATAGTCCGGCAATTATGCTATTGCTCAGTGTCAATCGAGAATATCTATGGATATTTTGAGACGCTATGAATTCAATCCATCACTTACCTATATTATAATCTTAAAAACGTGTTTGTCTGGCTGTTTGTCGGTCTGTCTGCCTGTCTGTCCCTGTATTTGTCTGTCTGGCTGTCGGTTGGTCTGTCGGTCGGTCTGTCTATATGTCTATCAGTCTGTCTGTCGGTCTGTCTGTCCGTCGGTCTGTCTGTTCGTCCGTTCGTCCGTCCGTCCGTCTGTCTATCTGTCTGTCTGTTACCAAGCTTTCAATTTCAATTTTCAGCAATAGATGCGTGGAAGGAGTATAATAGGGTAATTGAGGCTGAGGAATCATCAGATTCATCAGATTTGACAACGTTTTGGAGGCGAAAATGCAATTTTATTAAAATTAGAACACGACCCGATCGTTTGCGGAGAAGAGAGGAAATTTCGCATGCTAATTTACTTGAAATGCAACTTTGTAGGAATAAAATGAGACTGGGGAAATCCTCATATGTGTACGAAAATTCACCAAAAAAAGTCTAATAAGACGCTCGGATATCCTAACAATGTCGCGCTCGCACGCGTATAGAAGAACGCCTCTTTCTCCATTTAATTGAATTTTCCAGATTTTGCCTGTGAAAATTAGTTTCTTTTGCTCGAGATACTTTGACAATTTTCATCAGCAAGCGATTCCTTTGTTGTCTCTAAGTCAACACATTGTTTCTTGAGCTTCGTTGAAACATTTTCACACTCTTTGCCCCACGTGTATGAATAAACTTGGTTTTGTTATTTATAAAGTAAAGTCTAGCTGAAAAACACCGCAGCACGGGTTTTTCAGCTGTAACTCATGAGCAATAAATGATGAAAAGAATTCAGGCAATCGACGTTGGCCGTCGTCTCGTGGCCATCGGCAACATCATAGCCGCCATGCCGGTGATCATGCTCGTCAATCGCTATGGGACGAGGACCGTTCTCGGCGTTCTGGGCCTCTGCCCTCGGTTGCCACTTTTCATCCCATTGGCCATCAGGGGTGGTCACTCATCCTAAAGCAGACGTTCGTCTGTTTTAGATTTGATCATGTTGGTAGCTTAAGAGAAATGTAGAAAGATCAAGTCGTACCTAGTTCATGCCACGGCCCGACCAGGCCAGTCCTTGAGCCAATCCTTTTCCCGATGTTACGAATTTAATTTGCCGACTTCCCTTACCTACATCATTTTATCGACTAGAGGCTGTTCACCTTGGACTGCGGATATGGGTACAATCCGTTACGAGATTCAAATTGGTTCCCTGGTCTTCAAGAACCCAACCATGCGCACGAGACGCCACAGAAAACAACAGGAACGGAAACAATGTTGCTATCTTCAGTTGAACCGTTTCCAGCTGTCCATTCCCTAACCAGAGAAGAGAATTCTGGCCTGGGTCTAGCTAGGCTCAGGCTCGCCGAGTTCATTTGCGTTAGTTGCAATGATTTGCCCAGCTAGGTGTCACCAGGCTTCACTTGCGAGCTCTAGTACTTACTAGAACTCACCCGGAGATCTTAGCGACTAAAAGAGTACATTCATAGAAAGCTCCATAGAAAGCTTCATAGAAAGGTCCTTTAGCACTCGATCGCCGCCTTCTACATTCTGCGAATGATCCAGGGAACCGCGTTGGCCTGTAATTTCCCCGTAATCGGCTATTTCACAGAGCGATGGACCTATTTCAAACAGGTTTCTTTTTCCAGAAAAAGTGGCAGATATTCGATTAGAGTTTCGTATCAAATTAGAATTAAATTCAACAAAAATCAATTAAATGGTTCATTTACAGAATGGGATGTTCATCCCGGTCCTGGTCACCTATCTGCAACTTGCGCCCGCCTTCACGAATCCTGTATCTGAGCTCTATGCAGTGCCGCAGGGTGAGTACCGGATTGTAGGTAAAATCAATTTGTTGTCATCAACAGTCGCTTGACTTGTAATCCGATCTTTTCACCAAAAACTGCTTGAATCCGATTAGAATAATTTGGCCAATAGATACAGTCAAGTCTATTGAATGATATGGATCGCTCTATTGTCTGCCAAAACTCGATTGCCATGTCTGCCAAAGAACCAAAATCTTTCTAGATGGCCAAGTGTTTTCTACTTCCACGGCGGTCTCCTCGCTTGGTCTTTTCCTCATCTATGGTTGGTCGTTTGCGTTTCTTTCCTTTGATAATTCGCTTAGCGGTCGTTTTCCGAAATAATCCCGAGAAACACCCGTTTGTTGGAAACACCGAGAAGACGAAGATCGCGAAAGGGAAAATCACTGCTGAGTCGGTTTATATATCAAAAATAATTCTGCAACTGCAACAATTTCAGAAAGCCTCCCGTTCCCTATTTGTCGATCATTAAAACGCCGGCGATTTGGGGTGTCTGGATCGCAGGATTGGGCAATTTCACTGTCATCAATCTATTGTTCCTCTACACGCCCACCTATTTGCATAAAGGTGATTTAAAGTTACAGAATTAAAGTGGAAGTATAGATGATTAAAGCAATTTTAAACTAAGATCTTCCACGATTAACAGACTTTTTTTTGCAGTTGTCGGTTTCGGCGAGACGAGCACGGGTCTCACGTCGGCCATTGTGCCGATCGCTGAGGGAATCGTCAAGATCATCAGTGGTTGGTGAACCTGTTTAAGTAGCAGACAGTTTGATTAGCATATCAAACGATTCGTAGACATTTTCCAAGAAAAATAAGGCTTTAATCGGGTAGTCTTCGAAATACAATCGCTGATTCCGAGGCTTGTGGCCATCTTTCTGATTGAACGAGTGGGATTTCGACGGATTCGGCATCTGACTTTGTTTGTGTTCTCTGAAGTGACGTCTGTGGTTGATCGGCCGCTTCTTGGACGATCGTTGATCGCTGATCGTTGCCTCGTTCCTTGAATCGTTCAATGGTTCGATAGGACAGACTTTTTTTGATATCCGGTGACTCGAACAATCTCCATTGGTATCTTTCCGGCTTTGTGCAACTCAAGTATCACAGTGCGCCTCTTTTAGCATCCATATTGAAAGCGAACCTAAACAAAAACGTTGTTTCTTGTTAAAATAAGGAAAAAAGTTTAACAAATTTAAAAAAACAAAAAGTGAGCCAAATACTGTTTTTTGAAATTTTATACCGCGGTTTGAAAGAAAGTGTCAGAACTTTTGTGTGCCGCACCCTGTAGAATCTCGGAAAATCATACCGTAAAATAGATATCATACTAAATAGATAGGTAATTCAATGTAAAAGACTTCATTTTCTACTTATCGTAAATACTGTAATAGTACCGCACCGCCCTCGTACAGTCGCGTAGTCGCAAAAGTTTTTGAGTATTTCATTTTTTCAAAGCGCCTGTACTTTCAAAAATGCGTTTTAGTATCAAAAATAGCCCTGAATCTCAGCTATTTTTGATACCTAAGCCAACATTGTAGCATAAACCAGTGTCGAGAAAAAACTCGTTCAAAGCTAGACGACGCAACACTCCGCACCGTCATTATGGGGCTGGGGTACTATTACAGTATTTACGGTATGTATAACTTCTCTTATCTCTTTTCTGGATTGAAACCGGTCAAACATCAAATAGCCAATAAAAAAATAAGCAAATACAAATACAAATTACAAACACAAATTACAAATACAATATTGCAGGCGTTGTCTCGGATAAACTCCCGATCCGCGAATCGATCAAAGTTCGCCTATTCAACACGATCGCTTTCATCGGGTCGGCCGTCTTTCGCTATCATCGCTTTCGCAAAAATACACAATGGAGTAAGTGTAAGCTTTAAAGAATAATTCTGATCAAGAAGCTTCTAATGAAAAAAGTAATCTCATCTAGAATAATTAGTGATGAACGTGGTTTGCTTTTAAATAAAAAAGATTAACTATTTCATTTAGCTCTTCTTAGACAAATTTCAGCCCGCTTTGAAGCAAACCAAACGAGAATTCTTGTTTTTCTTGAAACCTAAACAATGAACATAGAATGAAAACGGCTTGATGAAATCTTATGAAAATTTGTTGATTTGCCTAACTTTTCATTCTCTATCTTTTGTCTTTGGAAGCCAAAATAGGTTTCTGTGACAAAAGGTCCTCAAATCGGAGCTTTGAGTTTCATTTGATTGCTTTTTGACTTTGACTTGGCTTTGTTTGACTTCGTTTTTCACTGTTGGACTTGACAGCTTTAAAAAAAATAACCAAAAGGAGCTTTTCAAAATTTCTTAGAGTAATTTGTAAATAAATAAATATAGGACTTTTTAATAAAACAAACCATAGATCGATTGATTCATCATTTATTTCAAAAGTCACTTTTAAAAGGCGGGCAAAACTCTCCGGCCAATCTGATAATTGTTGATGACATTGTTTTGGAAACCTTGGTGCGATTTCAGCCGGTGAGTCTCGTGTTGCTCGCGTTGTCGGGCGGTTTCATCGGTTTGAACACCGGCGGATTCTATCGAGCTGCGCCGATTCTCCTCGAAACACTTCGGGTGGGTGAAAAGTGAAAGAAGAACACTTTTTTTTGGGAAACAAGGCATTTCGTGAGATTTCTTACCAACAAATCGAGTTAAACTAAACAAATAGACTTTGGTCTATTTGTTTAATTTAACAAATTGTTAGGTCTGTATCTGGCGCAAAGCAGAGAACTTGAACATCTCAAAGATCATTGATTCTGTGTTACTTTTTGATGTCTCTGTATATGTGTTGTTTAATCGAAAGTATTAGATAAGATATACAAGAGAAATAATACAGAAGAACAAGAGAAATAATGCATACAATGCAGCTCGTTCGTGACCGGAGCCATCTCTTTGTGCATGTCGATCACGATGTTGATTCTCCCGTTTTTTGTCCAAGGAGTCGCCAAAAAGAACACCGAGGGCCAATGGGAGATCGTCTTTTTGGGGTGTGCCGGTGTGATTGTTCGTTTTTTTTCATCTGAAACTCTTTATAGAAACGATTCGGACAAACGATTCAATTAAAAAAAAACTGTCCACTCTTTATCATATTAGGTTGTCCAGTTATGAATGCGCGTTTTTACTATTTTGTAAATTTCTCAAGATATCGAACAGATGTATATGAGTGTTATATATCATTCGAAAGCTGAAGATCTCCTCTACATTTTGGAATTAAAATGTTTTTGAATTCATTCAACTTTTTGGGAAATTGACTGCACAAAGGGAGAGGTCGTTTTCAAAAAAAAAACCCATTCCAGCTTAGCTATTCCTCAAGTTTTATGGTGTAAAATAACCGCCCAGAAAAAGAAAAGAAAAGTAAAGATGCTCTGAAATTGTTATATTTTTAAAAAAGTTGTATTGATATATCTATTGGCCAAACATCAAACGGTTAACTCAATTTGAGCGGAGCCAAAACTTGATCCAAAGGCACCCTTCCATTTTTTGGCCACCTCTTCTTCTGTGCAGTCAATTTGCCCAAAAGCTGAACAAATTCAAAAAATTTTTTTATTAAAATGTAGAGGAGATTTTCAGCTTTTGAATAATACTCATATATGTCTTTTTCTTGATTTCAGTATCTTGAGAACTTTACAAAATAGTAAAAACGCGCATTCATAACTGGATAACCCAATAGAAAAAGATTGACAGTTTTAAAGTTGATTTTTCGAAAAATTTAAGCAAAGAACATTTTCAGTTTGTCTCAAACATTTTCGTCGTGATTCTCGTCCGGTGAACCTTGCTGGTGGACAAAGGTTTGTCCAAACGATTTTGAAAAATGAGTGAAATGATTTTCAGTCAAAAAGTGGTGTCTTCTCTTGAAAAAAAAGGAGACTATTCGGGAAAATCTAATAGGAAAATAAGATAGTTCTTTAAATGTAAAAAAGTGTCAACTCATTAGATTTGAGTTGACAAATAAAATCATTAGATTGATATCCGGTTTGGAATCGAGATTGAACCGGATCCGATTGCTTCGGATCGAGATTTGATTCGATTCGTTGAGCCGCTCTATCGGATTGAACCCGATCCGATTCGATCCGAGAGAATTTCAATCGGATCGCAAATCTAAAGCCTACCACTTTTCAAATGAACTAATCGGCCAAATGATTTAAAAAGAGCAAAAACAAACTCATTCAGGTGCCTTCGGATCAAAGCCAAACAAGCGACGACATTCCGCCTCAAGGCACCGATAGTAAACTCGAGAAAAACGAGAAAGAAAGCATAAATGCCTAACGTGCATGTATAAAGTAAAGATTTTTGAATTCTTTTCCTTTATTTATGTATCGTCGAGAATAAAGAATTTACAGAATTTACATTTTCGGCTTTTTGGCGTCGGATCTCGTTGATTTTGCCCGATGTTTATCAATGGAAATTCTTGTTTTTTCCTAAAATCCCTAAAGAGGACATAGAATGAAAATGGCTTGGTGAAATGTTATGGAAAATTTGTCTATTAGCTTAACTTTTCATTCTCTATCTATTGTCTTTGAAACCAAAATAGGTTTCTGTGGTAAAAGGTCCTCAAATCGGAGCTTTGAGTTTTATTTGATTGCGTTTTTGACTTTGACTTTCTTCGTTTGACTTCGTTTTTCACTGTTGGACTTGACAGCTTTTAAAAAATTAACCAAAAGGAGCTTTTTAAAGTCTCTTAAAGAGCAATTTGTAAATAAATAATGGGAATTTCTGATAACACAAACGATAAATCGATTGGTTCATTATTCATTTCAAAAAGTAAACTTTAAAAAAGCGGGCAAGACTTTCCGGTCAATCTGATAATTGTTGATGGCATTGTTTCACTGTTCGACTTGACAGCTTTAAAAAATTAACCAAAAGGAGCTTTTTAGAACTTCTTAAAGGACTATTTATAAATAAATAATAGGAATTTCTGATAACACAAACGATAAATCGATTGGTTCATTATTCATTTCAAAAAGTAAACTTTAAAAAAAGCCGGCAAGACTTTCCGGCGAACATGAAACGAGTGACGTGTTTTTGAGGGTTTTAGAGATAAGAGACAAGAGAAAAGAAGTCCTATCAATCGCCGTCTTTCCCTCCATTGAATCATGCACAAACTAACCGACCTTTGTGATGAATTTCCCGTTTTCTCAACTTCCCTTCGAATTAGAAACAAAGATTCTCGAAAGAACTCCCATCGTCTCGACTCCGATTTTTCTGAAAACGAGCCAAAGTCTAAGAGAATATTCTCTCGTTCATGGGCCTTCTATTGTCGAAGAATTCACAAGTTATGCATTCGGCACGACCAAGAATGGACGGATGAGAGGCAAATAACGTGGACTCGACCTGGATGGACTCTCACTTTTGTCAACGAGCCTTGTGAGAGAATGACGACATTTAGTTGCTCTTTTCAAAATTCCCATTTCTCGATTCAATGGACTGAAGATCAAGAAACCTTAAACTATTCCGTTTCTCCACACCATTTCTTGGGAATTCTCAAAAACCTTTTGTCTGGAATCAAAAGTTGTCAAGGATTCAATCCAGCTCGTCACAATCGACTGCTCCCGAAGAAGATCCACTGCCGATCTATTTGAGATTTGTCGGTAAGTATCGGCTAGGCTTTTTACAATGGAGAAGAATTCTTGAAAATCTTAAAGAGATTTCATCCGATTTTCGCCGATTCCTTAGAACTTTCGATTGGCCAAGAATTCGTGAGTTCTCCCGAAAACGATCAGGAAATTCTCTCATTTTTGAAGCCAATAATTGAGAATATTGGAAATGTTGAACTCAACGATCAAAGTGGGCATTTCGAGGAGTATTTCTACAATAATTTCAAACGAGCTAATGCTGTGCTTTTTAATACGGAAGAGAACATAGAGAAAGCCATCAAAATTGTCGAAAGAGTTCTGAAGAACGGCTTTTCAAGTCGGCAATTCGGCGTGGACTTTGATGGAGTCAAAATAAATTGTGAGGTAGAAAGATTGGCTGAAAAAGTTGATCTTATTTTAAGAAGCGACGCCTCTATTCGTGAAGTCAGCGATGAACAATCGAAATCGAAAATTCTCGATCAATTCTTGAGAGCTAAATGGAAATGGAATCTCATCGAAGGCGAGCAAAAGAAATCAATGGTGGACTATGTGAAAGAGACATTGCCCGGCATCCATATTCCAGTTTTCCATCATGAAAAGCATCAATATGCAATCGTGACTCAACCTTACTCAATCGTGACTCAACGTTGGCATTTTTTGATCATATTTCTGAGATACCAATTGGAAATCGAGCTGAGAGTTGCTAAAGGTTTGTTTGAGATTTGTAACAATGTATGTAATGCATGTTTGGATGTAGTTTTTAGATGTTTATACCGTATTTCTTGAATAGAAGACCGAGTAAAGAGTATCATCGCGTACAGTGTAGTCCCTTTAAATTCTTTTCTGCATAAAGCTTCAATCAAGGTAATAGAGCTGGAAAATGGCTCAAAAATCTGTTAGCTCATGTGGTATTTTTGAGCCATTTTCCAGCTCTATAGCACTTGATTGAAAGCTTTTGTGCAGAAAAGAAATTTTAAAAAGGGCTGCTACGCAGGAGTACGCGATGATACTCTTTACCCGGTCTTCTATTCGAAGAAATATGTAGTTTTTGTTTGTATGTGTATTCCCCTTCTCAATTCATATTTTTAGATACTTTCTTTAAAAGCGAGTCTGATCATGTCAACACTCAGCAACACTTTCAAAGCTTCACAAGAAAAAGCAAATAAACTAAATTCCTGCCGCTTTTCGAATTTGAATACATCGGAGATTGAATATTTAAAGAAACATTCTTTTCGTGCTTGGTACTCTTCACTCAAGACACGTTATTTCTTGTTTCGAGATATCTGATCTCACTTGATCTGATCTGATCTCACTTGAACTAAGACACTTTATTTAATAGCCGACTGACTCGCAATGTTTGGGCTCACTTGAGCTCTCACTGGAGCTCTCACTTGAGCAATTTTCACACAAAATCGACATTTGAATTAAAAGCGACGATAAAAACAGAAACAAACAGAAACAATTTCGTCCTAATTACGACACAACTTTCACACGATGAAAGGAAAGTAGAAAAAAATAAAACGCATCAAATGAACAACAGTTGCCTTATATAGGCTTTAACACAAGATATTCAGCTAACAAGCTACAAAACAACCAATGATTTGAGGCACGAAATAGAATGCAGGCGCACGGATTTCCGCGATATTTTTTTAATTTTTAGGCTGTCAGAGTTAGGGCACTTTTTAGTGGCTATTCGCCACAACATCTTTTCTAATTAAAGTGAGCAATTACTGGAAACCTAAATGCAAAATAAAACATTATTTATTGATGAAAATGGGCTATCTATTCAGATTTTGTATAGATTTCAGATTTCCTATTTTCTTTTCAATTTTAAGAGAGGTTTCCTCAACCAAATGACTGTATTAACGTTTGTTTCGAGAAACTTTGCACATTGTAAAACCTTGTAAAACCTTTGAAATCCTTTGATCTTGCAAAACCTTTGATCAGCATTCACTACATCATCAAGATAGAGACAACCACTTTACGTTTGATGGTTTCGATCATTTCACAAGGCTCATGTCTGACTGCCTCATTTTATCCACGGCGATTTACGTCACCATCACCTATACGATAGTATTAGATTGATGCATAAGTCTCTGTTATTAGCTAAAGAACATCTAGAGTTATCTAGAGTCACAAGAATATCTAGAGTCACGAGAATATCTAGAGTCACGAGAATATCTAGAGTCACAAGAACATCTAGCGTCACAAGAATATCTAGAGTCACAAGAATATCTAGAGTCACGAGAATATCTAGAGTCACAAGAACATCTAGCGTCACAAGAATATCTAGAGTCACGAGAATATCTAGAGTGAGTTCTTCTAGGTTAGTGCATAAGTCTTTACAATTTTTTCAAAACATCATTTAAAAAATAATGCCGCCACCAACAAAATCTTCATTTAAACCATTAAAATGGTTACTGTTACTTGTTAAAAGACGCGTAAAAATTGAATTGAAAATTGAAATTTCAAAGCTTCAAGGGACTTTAAAGAGTTGAAGAAAATGAAATTGAAGGCTTAAAGGGGTCTTTTCAATCACTAGAATATAGGCACTGGTGGCCTAGTGGGATAGTGGGACGGCTCTCTCGGTGGTAAGATCGGGATCGATCCCGCTGTTGGCTTTTGGTTTTCTATTTCTTTAGATGTAATACTTTATCTTGTAACTATTCAATATAACAAAGCAAAAGGTGAAATGTTAACATATATGAAGCCAAATCAAGAGGCATCCAAAACGATAAAAATTTTCTGATAACATCTGATAAAAGCAATTTGTCTTTTTTAAAATTACGATTTACATCACAATGAGCAATGAACGGGTAAAAAGCTGTAAAGTATATTACATTCAAAGAAAAAACCAAACACCAAAAACCCAGGCCGGGACCGAACCCTGATCTCGACACCCGAAGGCCATCCCACTATCCACTACGCCACCAATGCCCATCACTGAAAAGCGCCCTTAAACCTTCAATTTCATTTTCTTCAACTCTCTTGAAAGTCCTTAAAGCTTCAAAATTTCACTTCAATTTTGACTCGTTTGCAAGCTTATTTTGCAGATTTTGATTATCGGGATCATGAATCTCCATACTCGATTTAGTAAGATGTATGTGATTCGGAAACGAAAGCACACGAGAAGTTTGTGCCTTTCGCTAGTAAGAGTTTCAGAAACTTTGTCTTCTACTAGGCTTCGAAAGTAAAATAATCGACTATTCTAAGAGATTCGAGCCTGATCGTGATCGTTAATTTAGCCAAATGTGCAATTGTGTAAATCTTTACCGAACATCTAAAGAAGGTATGATAAATGTGTTTTTAAACGAATAAAATCTGAAGAAGAAAACATAAGCGTAAAATATCGTTGCCTCTAGTTCCCTAGTTTTCTGACTGAGAATCATAATTGAACATTTAAAGTCCGATAGACGGTGATCACAAATAGGAAAAGCATCTCGAATATCAAGAGAATCATTCCTGAACATCAGTGCCATGGAATATAAAGGCATAAGCAAGGAATTGGTAAACGTCTGACTCGGAAAATAAGCTATCAATCGTTAAGTGCTGATGTTAGCAAAATTATGTTAGATAGGTGATTCAGTGAGTCGAAAAATGTCATTAAATTGACGATGCTTTGCTTTTTATTTTCTCTAATTCCCTCATTGATAGTTTGACCTAATTCAAACGTTTTTCAACAAATAATTGGATTAAAAGACTCCCATTTAAAGCCATTATCAGTCAAAGGCTTATTTGTTGAAGTTAAAGCAAAAGGGAGAATTGAAAATACCGTGTTGACCGGAGATTCTTATCTCTTCCGTCAAGATTTAACCGTAGAAAACTCGAAAACAAATTTCGTATCACTAAGAGAGACTTCACTTCTCAATTCTCAATTCACTAAAGAAAACATGCATCGGAAAGCTACAAATTCCTTTTTCCTTTTAACATGGATTGGTACTTTTTGAATGTTTTAAGCACCCATTCTTTTATTTAGATTTCTCCCTTTCAATCTGTCCTCAAGGCGGAATTCCCGGTGCTATTGAGGGAAGTTGTCTGTTCGCGGTGAAATTTAATGCATCTTTCGAAAATGCTCAAGAATTTTGTTCAAGGTGAGACGAAAGTTTTGCTTCAAATGCAAAATTTAGTTACTTTGGCAATTTGGTCTCAATTCGTTCATCGGAAGAGAACGAGAAACTTTGGAAGTGGCCAAATTGTTGCCCGAAGTTGATTCCTTGTGATCTTCTAGTATTGGATACGTTTAGTCAACGAAATTCATCTGGTTGGGCGGAACTTTTGATGGAGCGAAAATCACATGGCTCGATGGATCCACTGGAGGATTCTCTTATTTAACCGATGGTCTCATTTTAACTAACGATTAAAAACTCACCCCAGCCAAATTACTATTAGGTTGTCCAGTCATAAATGCGCGTTTTTGAGGGCTTATTCCAAATATTTCTGCAAGTTCACGTGTAGTTTGTCGAGGATCACCTTCGATCGCCTGTTTAAGTACTGCATTATCGATCGTAGGAGGCCGGTGATCCTCATCTCCCAAGGCTGGTGATCCTCATCTCCCAAGGCTGGTGATCCTCATCTCCCAAGGCCGGTGATCCTCATCTCCCAAGGCTGGTGATCCTCATCTCCCAAGGCTGGTGATCCTCATCTCCCAAGGCCGGTGATCCTCATCTCCCAAGGCCGGTGATCCTCATCTCCCAAGGCCGGTGATCCTCATCTCCCAAGGCCGGTGATCCTCATCTCCCAAGGCTGGTGATCCTCATCTCCCAAGGCTGGTGATCCCTCATCTCCCAAGGCCGGTGATCCTCATCTCCCAAGGCCGGTGATCCTCATCTCCCAAGGCCGGTGATCCTCATCTCCCAAGGCCGGTGATCCTCATCTCCCAAGGCTGGTGATCCTCATCTCCCAAGGCCGGTGATCCTCATCTCCCAAGGCCGGTGATCCTCATCTCCCAAGGCCGGTGATCCTCATCTCCCGGCCGGTGATCCTCATCTCCCAAGGCCGGTGATCCTCATCTCCCATCATCTCATTTCCTTCTCGAAATCGTTGAAACCATCGCCGACACTGGCTTTATCTAAAGAAATTAAATCTAAACACAGAAATTAAATCGAAAATTGGTTTGACGTCAAAAACACGAAAAGTTGTAATAAAATAAGAAGTCCTGAACAGCATTTAGAGAATTGGGTTTGATAAAATTGTATAGCTCTAAGGAATGCTGTTCAAGTTGTTCAAGAGCAGGCGTCCAATCATAACTGGACAACCTAATAGTTATCCAGAGCTAATGTTTTGCTTCAATTTACAACTCATTTCAGGTTCACTGGCTGGGAATCTTTTGCTGAATCTGACAAGCGGCAAATGGACGACGTCGAATTGGAATGGAATTTTTCCATTCGTTTGTCTCAGCCAGCCACAGGTGGATTCAGTTGTGAGCAATTTGACCAAGTTTAAGCAAGCCGATATTCAGGATCCGAGCAATCAGCCTCCGATTTGCTCCCTCTATTCACCATGTCCAACGGATTGGGTCTACTCTGAAAGACTCAAATTTTGTTACAGGGTAAATTGCTGATTCGTATTGATTGTATTGAGATGCGCAGGTGGTTTTCAATGTGGATTTCACGACAGCCGATCAGAATTGCCGGCTGGATGGGCTCACAATTGGCGTCGATACATTCGGAAGAGGAAAACGATTTTGTGAATGGTAAATCGGCCGTTTATTTCCAGTTATTACTGAGGGAAATTTTTCTTTTCATTGCAAAACTTTTTCAGGCACCGTAAAAGCTTACTATTGGGTTGGTGAATTGAAAACTGCGGGATATTGTCATATGTGACAGTTTGAGCACTTTCTTCAAAAGAAACCCATTTTGGTGTCAATGGGAAAGTTGTAGAGAATCAAAAATAAAGCTTATATCCAAATTTTCAGAAAGATTCAAAAACTGGTTTTCAAGAAATGCCAAATTTAAGAAAGAAATGCCAAATTTTCACAAAACTTGCATTTTAAGCGAAACTACTAAGTGTATCTTTTTGGAAATTTGGCTATATAAATAAAAACAGTTTCTGAACGTACATTTTCAGTCCTTTCTTTTGGCACCTACCTCATGTTGTAACGCGCGGGTAATTTGGGAAGGTTCCCTGGTTAGTGGTTTGGCTTAAAATGCAAGTTTTGTGAAAATTCGTAAATTTGGCATTTCTCGAGAACCAGTTTTTGAATCGTTCTGAAAATTTGGATATAAGCCTAATTTTTGATTCTCTACAACTTTTCTATTGACACCAAAATGGGTTTCTTTTGAAGAAAGTGCTCAAACTGGGATCCCCAGTCTCCATCTCCAGTCCTCGATTTTTGAGTCTCACACTTGTCTCACACACAAACCAAAATCCTACTACGAAAGAGGAATCCGCAAATTGCCTGTAAAATGGGCAGAAGTCGTCAATAATAATGGAAATTATTTGGAATGAATTCATGGTTTTATGTTGAATAAATTTTAGTTCAAAGTCCGGCAGTTTTCAATTCACCAACCCAATAGATCTTGGCAAAAAAGTGATAATTTATGAACAAGTAAAGGGATCTTTAGATCTTTCGAAAAGCGGCTCGGTGTATTCTCTCGGGTCAGATGCTGGAACTGAGCCTCTCCTTGGAGGAAAAAGAGTTTGATCACAACAAAGGTTTTCCATAAATCTTTCTTTCAGACGGGACCCGGGCAAACCGATTGGATGTGGGTAGACGGGACACCTTTCAACTACACCCGATGGGCAATCATACAACCAGATAACGGCAACAATAACGAATATTGTCTGCAGGTGAACGAGACTTTCTAACGGGAGAACGAAGCATACTAGGTTTAGACGTTCCCTGATCCGATAACCGTCCCCAATTGGTGGGCTCCGACGAGCGACGGTTACATCTACAAATGGAATGACATCCCATGTTCTTTGCGGTTCCGCCTCGCCGTGTGCAAACAACCAGCAAAATATTGAAATACTTTTCCTGTTATTTTCTGTCATTCAAATTTCCAATAATCAAAAAAGGTTTTTTAATGTTTTTCAAAAAAAGGAAAAAATTGACTGCTAGTGGAGCGGATCCAGGATCAAAGAGTTTCGAGCGCAGGCACACTAATCACTACGCTACGAGCTGACTTTTGGGATGGCGAAAGGAAAGCCTTTCCGTCGGCAAAAATCAGTGTGCCAGAAATTCGAGAAAAGCTTTCATTTTTTCGAAATCCAAATGGCTGTAAATTTGTGTGTTTTGCCGATTAGCGGTTTCTGAAAAACAGCTTCTGAAAGTACATTTTCAGGCCTTTCTTTTGGCACCTACCTCATGTTGTAACGCGCGGGTAATTGGGGAAGGTTCCCTGGTTAGTGGTTTGGCTTAAAATGCAAGTTTTGTGAAATTCGTAAATTTGGCATTTCTCGAGAACCAGTTTTTGAATCGTTCTGAAAATTTGGATATAAGCTTGATTTTTGATTCTCTACAACTTTTCCATTGACACCAAAAGGGGTTTGTTTTGAAGAAAGTGCTCAAACTGACACATATGACAATAGCCGGCAGTTTTCAATTCACGAACCCAATAATATCGATCAAAACATTTAAATAAATTAAATAATGGTTTTACAGATCAGTAATAAGCTGATCTCGGGCCGAACCTGTCATTCGACTATCGGAAAGAAAGAACTCGTGAGTGAAAGGGAAAAATTGGAGGGTAATCCCCGATTGATGAGACGTTACCTGAATTTCTTCTTTTTCGACTATCTCATCCTCGGCTATCCTTTGTCTGAAGTGAAAAAAATCAAAGTGAATGAGGAATAAAGTAAAACAAAAGTTTTAGAAACTCTTGTGTTACCATGGAAAGTAATCGCTTGTTTTTTAAAGGTTAAAACTGTCATATATGACAATAGCCCGCAGTTTTCGATTCACCAACCCAATAGATCACTGCCGCTTGATAGAAACACATCGTTAGATTTTACAAGGCATGATTTTACAAAAGATGCCTTTCTGTTAAGGTGAATGTTAACATTCTTAAGTAAGTCTTAAGACTTTGCTGACCCCATTCTTTCTCTAGTTAGCCATCTAAAAAAGCCAAACTTCTAAAAGCCGTCTAAAAAAGAAAAACGGATTTCCCGCAGGTAGGATTGAAGCAAGCAAGAAAAAAATAGGCAACCTTTTCTGTAAAGGGAAAAAGTATAGCCGAAGAGGAGCGCGTTTTCCTTTTGCTTTTCTCTTTTCAAATCTTTCCGAAAGCCCTTATAGATGGTAGAGCGTTGGTCTTGTAAACCAAAGGTCGGTGGTTCGATCCCGCCTGGGGGCAGTTTCTTTTGGCCGTGGTTTCAATTTTTCCGACCTACAGTCTTTCAATTGAATAACTCAAGTGAATTCGTGGCGCATAGTTATGGAGGACTGAGTCAGATCAAAATACGAAGTCTATTTTGCTAATGAATACCCAATCTTGATTAAAAGTCGACTTTTCCAATACCTTTCACAGATTATTCAGACAGATTTGGCCAAATACAGGGTGCGCCAAAAGTTCCCGTACTTGTATTTTCTGCATTTTTGGTAATTGTAGATAAAAGATACGATCTTAAAAGTAAGAAATTGAATTCCTCGCGAAAAACTGATTTAGAAAACGTTTCTGGTTAATTTATAAGTGCAACACTATTTAAGACAAGTGATTGAGAAGAGGGACGGCTCAGGGGTGCTTTGGTAGCACAGTTACAGGGCACAGTTACAGGGCACAGTTACAAGGCACAGCTACAGGGCACAGTTACAGGGCACAGTTACAGGGCACAGTTACAGGGCACAGTTACAGGGCACAGTTACAGGGCACAGTTACAGGGCACAGTTACAGGGCACAGTTACAGGGCACAGTTACAGGGCACAGTTACAGGGCACAGTTACATTTATAAGTGCAACGCTATTTACAGGGTGACCAGAAATAACGTTGCGGGATTTTCGGCAGCCTAAATTCCACAAAGTTTCAATTTTGAGAGACAAATTTATTTTTAACCTATTCTCTGTGATTGTTTTTATTAGTTTCTTTGTTGTTTTACCTTGTTTCAAGTCTATTCATTTTTTTATAGGATGACAAACAAGGGATCTCGGGAACAAGGGAAGCCATTCTGGAGCTTCATCGTCAAGGTCAATGCGCGAGTTTCTTCGAATTCGAATTTCTTACTTTTAAAATCGTATCTTTTATCTAAGATTACCAAAAATGCAGAAAATACAAGTACGGGAACTTTTGGCGCACCCTGTAATGACATTTTTGGCCAGCTAGGGTTTCAAGTTGCAATATGCAAGATCTATTGCAATACCTGTTACAATATAAGTTGCAAATTGCTACATATGTCGTTTATATAGAGTTTTATATACCTAAGAATCATCCGTCCAATTGTTTTTCTAATAAAATACCAGTTTTTGCTGCTTTTTTATTAAACAAAAATAACTTCTATCTAAGAGACAAAACTTCAAAGCTCAGTCAATATTTGGCAAATATTTGTGACGCAAATGTGACACGATTCGATGCATGAATGAGTTTTCACTTTTCTGGGCGGCTGCTGAAGAGAATATAGCCAAAAATATGATTGCTAAAAGTTTGGATTTGAATTTTTGAAAAGATGAAAGAGCAAACGCCTACACAAAAATGTTCCAATTGAAAAAGTCGAAATTCCACTTGAGAAATGTTTATTTTCTGATGTCAAATGAGATCTAGCCTTCCTTGTTTTACGTTTAAAAGTGTTACGGCGGTTTTTTTTGGCGTTTTTTCTCTACCAGCTTTGCTTATTCAGAGATCGTCATCTCACAGATCATAGGTGAATCGTTTTTACTTCAAAATTTGACTTTATATTTTCAATTTTCAATTTAATCACTTTTTGTATAGGTTTTGTTGGTGTTTGTATGCCATTTTTAAGTAAATAATACTTACTTTTAAGTAAATAGTTGTCTTGACGATCTCGTGATCGAGATCGCCGCGTATGGAAATGGCCAGCTAGACACCTATGTGGACGAACGCCTATTGTGCGAGATTTAATATGCGTCGCTATCCGTTCAACTCCATTGTGTGCAAGACGAGACCAACGCCTGAGTTCCGTATAAAATGTGAACGAGCTGCCGACGTGTGCCGTGGAGTGTCTCTACTCTCCCAATCTCAAACCACTGAACCAACTATTATCGTTGTAATAAAGATTATATCTAAACCAACAATAATCACTACAATAGTACTTACTTTTAAGTAAATAATACTTACTTTAACCACATAGCAATATCTAATAGTAAGAGTTGTGAAATTTGAAGACAAATAAAGCATTTGACTGCCTTTTAAGCATTTTAAGTGTAAGTTTGATTATGTAAATTGATTTCAAATGTTATCTGGTTGAATTCTGATGTTATCAGGTCAAATTGTTTCATAATGTAAGGCTTGATAAGGGTCGAATGAGGTCGTAAGTGTGCTAATTTTAAATCCCAATCCCTCAATTTTCCAGCTGACTGAATTTCAGTTACTGCAACATTTGAATGCAAATTCTTTAGGCTTTAGATTCCTCAGCTGTGTCGCATTAGGAAAAACTCGATAAAATCCAAATTTGTCTTTTCAGTGAGACACTTTTTTGGGAGACAATGCGCTTTTTTCTGGGTGTGTTTCTTGAGGAAATCAGAAGTCGTGAATGGAGAAAGGAAGGGTAAAAGAAAGGAAAAGAAAGGAAAAGAAAGGAAAAGAAAGGAAAAGAAAGGAAAAAGAAAGGATTTCGTGTCTTTTCTCTCGCAATTTGTGAAGAAAGGGCGACTCCTCCCCCTTTTTTTGAGAAGAGGAGATCGAGTCGAACAAATGAGCGAATCTTTTTTGCCGTTGACTTTGATTTCGTGTCTTTTCTCTCGTTTGATACTCAAAGTTTGATACTTAACATTTTAGATTCTCTCCAGATTGTAATCATATAGATGAATTGTTAACTTGTGCATATTATTTTAATGTTTTTTTTTTATTTTTAACACTGGCGTAAAAAAACCAAGCACCAAATTCTGATTGTGGGACATTTGATACGCGCCATTGGCAATCTAACCATTTGCCATTAGCAATCTAACCTTGAGCTCAAATATCTTGGTGTTGGGCTGTCCAATTTAAATACTTTTTGTACCAAACGACAGAGAAAGACTTGACGCATCCAATGAAAAGAAGAATATTTAAATTGGACAATCGAAAGCCAAGATATTTGAGCTCAAAGTTGGATTGCCAATGGCAAAGAGGGCGGGGCACGTATCAAATCTCCGATAATTCCAAATTCTTGACTAAAGCTTTTAACGCATTACTTCTTTAACTTCAAGTTATTAGTTCCATTTTTACAAAATCCTAGCATCCAATCACTTTACAGTAACCAAAAAGCTGGCTTTGCAGAAAAATTTTGCTTAACTCGCTTTCGATCTGGGTTTGGCTTTGTAGTGCTTTTTTTTGCTATAATACGCTATAATTTATTAAGCTTTTTTTAGTGTTTCTAGTAAGGGTAAACACTATTCTTCAAGTTTTCCACAAGTTTTCTTCAAGTTATTTGCTCAATGTGACGAAAACGGGCAAAATAGGGACTACACTTGATCACCACTTTCCCCCTATTTAACTCATTAGTTTTTGTCCCCAGAGACAATGGAGGCTCTGGCAAAAACAAGAGAGAAGAAAAAGAAAAGAAAAGAACCAAAACATCCCATTGCAACAATAGGAAACGCTTTTTTGGGCTTATTTTTTATCAAAGTTGATTTGAATGTCTTGTAATTTCTATGAAATTTGTAAAAAACTGTAAAAACTGTAAACTATCAAGAATTGTAAGGATTTTGCTTTCATATTTGACCTTTTGTGTGTAGAGTTTTAAGAAAAATTGTCACAAATTGATTATGCTGTCATAAGAAGACGAATTCAAACAAATAACGTTAGTTTTTAAGAAATAATCACTCACTTTCATCGCCAAACCCCTTTCCTTCCGTGTACTTTACAGTGCAGCACAATCGCGCTCTTTCTGGCACACGGAGATTGATGGGGTCATAAAAACACGAATTCAAACAAATGGTTTTTAAGAATTATTCACTCACTTTCATCGCCAAACCCCTTCCCTTACGTGTACTTTAGAGTGCCGCACAATCGCGCTCTTTCTGGCACACGGAGATTGATGGGATCATAAAAACACGAATTCAAACAAATGGTTTTTAAGAATTATTCACTCACTTTCATCGCCAAACCCTTTTCCTTACGTGTACTTTACGGTGCCACACTATCGCGCTCTTTCTGGCACACGGAGATTGATGGGGTCATAAAAACACGAATTCAAACAAATAATGTAGTGGTTTTTAAGAAATAATCACTCACTTTTATCGCCAAACCCTTTTCCTTACGTGTACTTTACGGTGCCGCACAATCGCGCTCTTTCTGGCACATGGGGATTGATGGGGTCATAAAAAGGCCGCCCTTTTGGCAGGGAGAGCACTGGGTGTCGACAAGATGAGTACTCGCAGCCACTCACCGGTTTTTATAACCGCACAAAGATGTGAGGAAAGTCCCTGGACAAGCACTGAGAACAGAGATCGTTCCCCCATAAAAGGTTGGGCCCTGCGGGGAATCGTCCCGGCAAAGTGACGCTCATGACAAAGAAAACAGCATAGGGCTTACTCTGTACGACACCCAGAATCATTTTTGGATGAAAACAAAACGTTTACGAGTTCAAAACAGGACAATTACAAGTTTCACTCAATTTCAATCAGTTTCAATCAGAAAGATGTTTGAAATCTTTGCTATTATCACAATATTAAAGTGATTTTCAGCTAATTTTTGAAATTTCCGTCGAAAATCTCGAAAATCTTGTTGAATTCGCTTTAAATCTTGTTGAATTCCAAATTTAAACCCAAATCTTTTCCAAATCCCCAAAATTGAGATCCCATTTTTTTATCTCACTTTTCCTTTTCTAGAAACATTCTTTTCCCATTTTCGGGGGCTTTATATTGGTTCTTTTTGGGACCAACCCAAAAAAAAGTCTTCTAATCGTTCACTCTTTCCAGAATAATCTCCAAAAAAGAGTGTTCCTTTTACGTGAAATTTTGAATTTTTATTTTGAAGTTTATTGATTTTGAAATATTTTGAAATTTCCTTTATTATTATTGTTTATTGTTATTGTTTATTATTGTTTATTATTATTGTTTCAATTCAGCCTCTTCTCGATGTTTGTCACTTGATTTTCGATGTTCGATGTGAACAAGGATTGACATTTTGCCTAATGCAGTTTCTATTGGCCCTTCTTCTTGGAACAGGTGCCCTAAAAAGATACGATAAGGTTTTAAAATCGTACAACTGATCAAATAGATACTTTCAATGATAATAAAGTAGCTAATCAGGATCACTAATAATAATAATATGATCAGTAAAAAGGTCAAAAGCTTACCAGGGAACCTTCCCAAGTTACCCGCGAGTTACAATATGAGGTAGGTGCAAAAAGAAAGGCCGGAAAATGTACGTTCAGAAACTGTTTTCAAAAACCGCTAATCGGCAAAACGCACAAAGTTACAGCCATCTGAATTTCGAAAAAATGAAGGCTTTTCTCGAATTTCTGGCACACTGATTTTTGCCGGCGGAAAGGCTTTCCTTTCGCCATCCCAAAAATCAGCTCGTAGCCTAGTGGTTAGCGTGCCTGCGCTCGGGACTCTTTGATCTTGGTTCGGATCCGCTAGCAGTAAAACCTTTTGCTTTTTTTTGAAAAATAGGTGAAAATCCTTTTTGATTGTTAGAAATTTGTATAATGTTATTTAATGATTGACAAGGCGAGTTTAAGCGGGGTGTACAGGACTCGTTGAACCATTGGATGTTTACTTCTATCAACCATTTAAAGGCGTAATGGAAAGATTCACGATCACATTCGAGCCAGCAAACCGGATTTCAAGATCAGCAAGGGAGACAATATGATTAAAGTTCTTTCGGTTGTGCGTGAGCAGCTTAAAGCTCGAGTATTTTTCAATTTTCGTCAATATTCATGGTTCCGAGCAGGATACATCCCTCAACATTCAGGAGACTCCTACGGAGTACTAGGCTACGAGCTGACTTTTGCGATGGCGAAAGAAAAGCCTTTCCGCCGGCAAAAATCAGTGTGCCAGAAATTCGAGAAAAGCCTTCCTTTTTTCGAAATTCAGATGGCTGTAACTTTGTGCGTTTTGTCGATTAGCGGTTTTTGAAAACAGTTTCTGAACGTACATTTTCAGGCCTTTCTTTTGGCACCTACCTCATATTGTAACTCGCGGTTAACTTCGGAAGGTTCCCTGGTTAGCCAAGGCTCGTTTTTTTCAGCCTAAGCTGTCACTTTTGTCTTCAATCTACTGATTTCTTTTCCAAATTCTTCTCCGAAACTTAAATTCATTTTGTTCGCGTTCTCTTTTAAAGATCTTTTCTTTTTTTTGTGTTCTTTTTTTGAGAAACTTTTGTTTTCTTCATTCGGTCGGGTTGAAGAAATAAGGGTCTTTCCCCGAGCCGAGCGGTCGGCCTCAATTTGGAACGATTGGCGGAAGGAGACCCAAAAAAGAATAGGGGAAAAGGGAAAGGAATTCTTCAAAGAGAAGCTCAAGAGAAGCAAAAGTCCAAGTCTTTTCCCTTTTCTTTGCCTTTCGATTGGTCAAAGAAGTCATAGACAACAATAACGGCAACAATTTTGCGTGTTTTCATAATGGTGGTCTTTGAATGGATTCAAGAGTTGACTTGAAAAGATTGACCAAATTCAATAAGTAATAAGATATAGTCAAATGCTTTCTTTACTGAAATACTAATCGGATACAGGTGATATTGGTTGACCATTGGTTGAAAAAAACACTCGTTTTAAACAGTCATTTGAAAAAAGCACAATTATGGTAGACATGAGCACCACAAACGCTTCTAACTTGCTTCATAACTGCCAGATTGACATGATCTATAGCTCAAAAAAATAGAGAATCTCAAGAGCTTTCGAATGGACTAAAGTACATTCAAAAATATCAATGCTAAAGAAAGTTACAGTGACTCGATCGCTTTGACTACGCGTGAGTACGGTCCGTTTCAAGCCAAGACTACAAACAACTGTAACTTTCTTTAGCATGGATATTTTTGGATGTACTTTAGTCCATTCGAAAGCCCTTGAGGTTCTCTATTTTTTGAGCTATAGATCATGTCAATCTGACAGTTATGAAGCAAGTTAGAAGCGTTTGTGGTGCGACAGTTCGTCATTTTTGTTGTTTATAGTCATTTGCCGTCATTTGCCTATGTCTAAATTACGGGAATAGAACAGTAGACACATTTGAATATTTTTGCTCTAGACAAATCTTAAGATCAGGGATTTTTAAACCAAGATTGACCAGGCAGACCAGAAGTCAGTTCCAAGAAATTATGAATCAAGTCAAGGCAAACAAATGACGCTGAAAACCAAGCCAGAAGCTGATTTCTGATCTGGTTCCGACCTTGCCCAGAAAAACTGCTTTTAAAATAACTCTGTTTACGATAAGAAAGACAATTCTACTCTTACTATTGACAGAAAATACTAACAGCGCCAACTTTTAGAAACTATGAAGCTTCGAGTGTTAAACTTTCAATAAAAATAAAAGAAATAAAAGAAATCAAAGAAATAAAACAAATAAAACAAATAAAACAATAAAATAAACCAAATAAACAAAACAAACAAAACAAATAAAACAAATTTGCAGCTCTTGGCCATCCGACGACAATCGTCGAGGTGGAGGAGACTGATGACTTTATCCAACTCAGAGAGAAACATTCGGTGAGCGTTTTTTGTCAATATTTTAAAACAAAAGCTCAACTTCGCAAAAAGTATGAAATGTATAAGCATTTAAGCATCAATAGCATGTATAAGCGATCAACAATTGCATCTTTAGCTATTCTGTACCCAGAAGTGCGCCTCATCGTTGCGAACTGGAGTGCTGGCCGCATTGGGGACTCATTCCACTCCGTATTCTTCCCTATTAGCCCCATTTCATCACATTTTCTCGAACACGGAAAACACCGGGCATTCGTTGAGAAAAAGTGAATACACTTGCAGGTTGGGAAATGAAAGAATTGGGAAATGAAAGAATTTCTTTGAGTTAAAGCTGTTCAAAAGTAGCAAAGTCAAGCGTAGAAGTCAGACTTATCGTTGGCTCTTTGGACTCATAGTAGGCTAGGGCCAAGCTGGCCAGGTCCAGGGCCAGGTCCAGGGCCAGGTCCAGGTCCAGGGCCAGGTCCAGGGCCAGGTCCAGGTCCAGGTCCAGGTCCAGGTCCAGGTCCAGGTCCAGGTCCAGGTCCAGGTCCAGGTCCAGGTCCAGGGCCAGGTCCAGGTCCAGGGCCAGGTCCAGGGCCAGGTCTAGTTCCAGGGCCAGGGCCAGGTCCAGGTCTAGGTCCAGGTCCAGGGCCAGGTCCAGGTCCAGGTCTAGTTCCAGGGCCAGGTCTAGTTCCAGGTCCAGGGCCAGGTCCAGGGCCAGGTCCAGGGCCAGGTCCAGGTCCAGGTCCAGGTCCAGGGCCAGGCCCAGGTCCAGGGCCGTGGAAATATCCAGGTCATCTCAAGCATTTGACCTCGACTCTGATCGCATTTGACTTGATATTTGACTCTGTTTTGATCCTGGCTAACTTTAGCTTTTTCTAATCCATTTCTAGCTAGCATTAGGCTTAAAATAAACAGCTCACAAGCTTCAATCAGCATATTTTCAATCAGCATATTAAAGTCCTACCATTTCAGGAGTGTTTTCAACTTTGACAACTGTTTGTCGAGTTGTGGCTCATCACCGGAAAGAGACACTTGGCTGCAGGCAATCTCTCATTGGACTCTTTTCTGTACGCTCATCAAGCAATCATCTAAAGGTTGATTTTAAAAAAAAGCTATCCAATTTTTTTGTTATCCTACTTGTTTTAGCCGTAATTGAGTACGTGCAATGCGAGAGTGAGCACATGCGAGAAGCAGTGAAACACTGTGGTCATCTCAATATCTATCCGCGATCATCGTTCACGATTTTTTGCAGGTTCGATCTTTTATTTTAGAGTTTTAGATCCACTTAAAGAAAGCTGCCCACTTCCGACTTTAGCCTGCACAAGAAATATCTCAGAAAAATGGTTCAAAAGTTATTCAGGCAGTTCGACAAGTATCATCGTTGCTATCAGAAGCTCAAACACAACTGTACCGAACCAGGACATGCGGTGAGTTTATCAAAGTTTTCAAAATCATAAGAATTGCTTTGAGAAAGCTAAAGAGAAAGAAAATTTCGTGAAATACTGTAATATCAAATAGTTTTTCAAAAAATCAACACCGAACTTTCAGATCAAACAGCAAATCGACGATGCCGTACAGAAAACGTTTGAACGTTTGATGAAATTGAACTCGAATCGGGTGAGGATCCCAAATCGATGCACATCATGGATTAATGGGCACACCACAAATAACGATGATGAAGATGAGGAGAGGGGTAAAAGAGGCTTACATATGAAAACTGTGTCTTTTCTCCGAGTCACACTAAGCGTTTGAATTAGACATGCTCCAGCCGGGCCCTAGGCTTGTAAGCTGGGCCCTAGGCTTGTAGCTGGGCCCTAGGCTTGTAAGCCGGGCCCTAGGCTTGTAAGCTGGGCCCTAGGCTTGTAAGCCAGGCCCCTAGGCTTGTAAGCCAGGCCCTAGGCTTGTAAGCCAGGCCCTAGACTTGTAAGCCAGGCCCTAGACTTGTAAGCTAGGTGTGCTAAACGTTTAGCACCGCGGCGTGCACAGCCGCTGCCATTTACATTCAAGATTACAAACTTACAGCAAAGACAAAGTAGTTTCAAAGTAAGAAAACGTGAAACGACTAAGGAAAAGTACGATTTTTTGCTCAGTTGATACCTTTTTTCTGAATCTTGTTATACATGGTTGGGCAAAATTACCCGAACAAGAGTTCTGTAACTTTCCAGCCAGCCAACTTAACCGTATAATTTTCTCCATAGTATAAATATGTTTCATTCCTTAACCCATTGAGACATTACTGAAAGGAAAAATCTGTTGGCTTTTCTTTCAAACCAAAAAGCATGGGGTAAAGTTGATCATTCATCCTGGCATTCATCCTGGCACAGAGCTTCATTTTCCCTCTTTTCAGCGCTTTTTTGTTTCTGAAAAACTCGAGGAAAACAACATAAAGACTAGAAAAGGATAATTAAGAATAGAAAAAGAAATCTAGGAGTTTTTATGAAACGGTTGACGAATAACATTCAAACAAGGCTTTGCCCAACTCTGTTTATTGTTTAAATTTGCTCATTTTCTCACTCTTAAGTCAGTGTTAAATACAAGTTAAATCAGTAAAATTGTTGCAATTGTTGCTTTCATTCTGTTGCCAACAAATCTTGGTCGATTTTGCTCGAATTTTGCTGTGCTTTCCGCAATTTAGCCCTGTTATTGAACTCGTGCAAGTGACCTGTTGGGTTGAAGTAAAAGTACAAGTAACGGGTAAATTGTGGTTGGTTAAACAAAGAAGTTTGTACGATAAGGTAAGGTGGTCGATAAGGTGCAAAAGACTGAAAGTCTTGATCCAAACACACACTAGTGCTTAGACAGGAACTTTTAGTACATTAGGCTTTTGGCTTTTAGCTGGACTTGTTTGTTTCTTGACTTGACTTGACTCGGCTTGTGTATTTGGCCTGGTTCATGTTCGGCCTTGATTTGGAAACTTGCCTTTACAACTGGAACTTCACAACTGGAAACTGTAGAATGACGTTTAGAATGAACCCAGTTTAGAATGAAGGTCTTCCGTTAAAATCAACGCCTCATCGCTCGGCCGACTCTCAAATTGTACACCAGATTCCAGTGTTGCGAGAAGTGCCCACCGGTGAGTTTTGTCTCTGAGACTTTGTTGACTCTGAGATTTTGTTATTGTTGTTTTTAAGTTAAGCCTTAAGAATTAAAGAATTAAAGAATTAAAGAATTAAAGAAATCAAGAATTAAAGAATTAAAGAATTTAAGAATTTAAGAATTTAAAGAATTAAAGAATTAAAGAAATCAAGAATTAAAGAAATCAAGAATTAAAGAATTAAAGAATTAAAGAATTAAAGAATTCAAAGTGTATTAAAGCTGGCGATGCATGATAAACTTTAAAAAGCTCTATCAATGATCTTTCAAAAGAAAAAGCCTTTCCAGAAAGCCCGTCCAACTCCGAGCCAACCACGGTCGAAGTCGATTTGATCACCGTTCGTCCATTCACCGCTTTCTTTGATTTCTCAACCGTTTCATTTACATCAACCACTCAAAAACCCGACGCAAAACCCGAAGATCGCAAAAATTTTCTCACCAAATTTTTCTCCATGAAATTGCTCAGCTCATCGACATCTCAGTCCCTCAAATGGGGTCTCATTTTTCACTTTTACTCTTTTGCACAATATTTGAAGTGTACAAAAATGGAATAAACAAAAGAACAAAGAGATTTCTCATTGCACAAAAGAAAGATTTGAGAGAATGAGTTTAGATGAGTTTAGATGAGTTTAGGATGGGAAAAATCACAGAATTTATCAAAAAGTAGCACAGATTTTAGGCACATTAAAAAGGTATTTGAATCTTTTCAATCTAGCGAATGAGAATTGGATTGGATTGGATTGAAATTGGAAACTGAAAAGATAAAAGGAAATATAGAAGAAAATATAGAAGAAAAGACATAGAAGAAAAAATAGAAAGCATAGAAATTATAGAAGAAAGTATAGAAACTATAGAAAGTATAGAAACTATAGAAATTATAGAAACTATAGAAAATACAAAAGAAGATATAGAAAATCAAGAAAATAGAGAAGTCCTGATGAAAATTTGACCTGGGTTCACTGATTAAATTCTTGCACAAGAATGAGCTTGAGTGCAAGATAAAAGCTTAGGAATCGTGCTTTCAATTTTCAATAAAAATCTAATTCTTCTTTTTACCCGGCTGGCTATTTCCCTTCTTGGCAAAAAACTCGATAAAGATGAGATAAAGAAATGCGATCCCGGTCCAGATCGAGTACAACGAGATGCCCACCCAGTGACCTTCCGACCAATCACGCGGGTATTTCCACTGGGGACCACACTTGAGCCGAGAGAATCGCGGCGCAGCCTGAAATATTGAAAATGTTGGCAAAACGCAGATGAAATGGCTAAATTTTTCCAGATTTCCCCAACCAATCAGCAGCTTTCAAAAAGTTTTTTTATGATATGTTGCTAGTGAAAAGTTATGAAAAGTTTTTGACCAATTCCAGCTGTCGAACAAACTACCGTAAATACTGTAATAGTACCCCATCCGCATAATGAGGGTGCGAAGTGTTGCGTAGTCTAGTTTTGAACGAGTTTTTCTCGACACTGGTTTATGCTACAATGTTCGCTTAGATATCAAAAAATAGCCCTGAATTTCACCTATTTTTTGATACCAAATACGCATTTTTGAAAGTACGAGCGCTTTGAAAAAAATGAAATACTCGAAAACGTTTGCGACTACGCGACTGTACGAGGGCTGTGTGGTACTATTACAGTATTTACGGTAATTCCATGTTCGTTTTCTTGGCCGTTGCTTGACCGATTGCTCTGAGATTTTTTCTACAGATAGAGATCGACAGCTTCTAGGCAAAATTTCAGAGTAATAGGGTACTATTACAGGTATTTACGGTAAGCAATCATAATCCTCATGCCCTTTTTCAATGAAAAACTAATTCATTAAGAAATCCCAGGCTTTATCGCTTCAAATTATTCTCAAAACTCAAAAAAGTATTCATAAAAATACATTGAAATCTTTGAATAGAAACGCCTCAATCGCCAACAAAAAGTATCGCGTTAATAAATCGAAATCGAGCTAAATTTGGCTCAATCGAACATCAAAGTTGAGTTGATTCGCAGGATTGAAGAGTTTTGCTCATTTTATGTCAAATAAAAAAAGTTGCGCTTAGCATAGCTCTTAAAAAATTCTTCTTAAAAAATTAGCTTAATCTTATAACTTTTCATTCTAACCAAACAGAAATTAGATCCGGAAAACCAACACAAATCTGGTGGAGAAATTTACATGGATTAGCCATTAGAGTATTTTCCTCGTGAGTGATGCGTTTTTTAAAACGCACTACTTTTGGGAAAAATTGCCGTACTTTTAGCGAAAATTATATCAAAAACATTTGCGCGAAAGAATCACGAACGTCGCAGCGCTCGTGATTTTCGTATATAAGGCGGTAGGTTGTATATAAGGCGGCCGGTCTTATAAGGCCGGCCGGTCGTATATAAGCCGGCCGGTCGTATATAAGCCGGCCAGTCGTATATAAGGCGGCCAGTGGTATATAAGGCGGCCGATCGTATATAAGGCGGCCGGTCGTATATAAGGCGGCCAGTGGTATATAAGGCGGCCGGTCGTGTATAAGGCGGCCGGTCTTATTTAAAGCGGCCGGTTATATATAAAGCGGTCGATCGTATATAAGGCGGCCGGCCGTATACAGGGCGGCCGGTCGTATATAAGGCGGCCGGTCGTATATAAGGCGACTAGTCGAATAGAAGGCGCCGCGCCGCCTTATATACGCCTCTTTTTAAAGATGTTCAGCCGTTTAACTGATTTGGTGGCAAATTCCTTCAATGTAAAGATATTCAATTTACTCGACGCGTAAAAAGGATTGCTCGTAGTTACCCGACAAAAGACGTCGATTAATCTAGTAAAAAATTACTTATGCAATTGACTCAAGTACTTACTCGAAAGGAACACACTCTATTAGTCATTTCGTCTGCATTTCACCCAATAGTTTTATGCGGCATTCTCACCTAAGCCTAAGCCTAAGCCTGAGCCTGAGCATGAAACAGTTTTGCAAAGCCAAAGCCATCGCATAGTCTTGACTTTAGTTTAGCTCTTTCTGATAAGCTAAAGGATAAGCAAATGTCAGTAAGCTCACCAAAAACACGACACCGAATGGCAACCTTGCGGTCCTGAGACGTCGGCCAGTGAAGGGCATACTAAAACAGCTTTGTTATAAAGTTCCTCTACGGCACTCTTGCCCCTAAATTTCACTCCCACTATTGTTATCGTTTTCTATGCATTAACCTGTGCCACACAGAACGAGCAGACGAAGAGTGCGCCCATCACTCGACCGCACAACTCGTGGCTCGCGTCCAGCGCGACGTTCACCTAAACTTGAAAAATATTGAGGGTTTTCTTAGATTCTCAGCCGTATTTCTATATAATCTAATTGCATTTACTCAATCTAATTGCATTTTAAATCATTTCCCGACTTTCCAAACCCACTTGTCGATGGAGGAGCCATTTCGGGAAAGCAAACCAGGCGCTTCCAATGCAAATCGACGCGATACTGTCCAATTGGTATAAACAATTGCCCACTCGGTTCTCCAGTATCAAATTGTTAGCTAAATTTTGTTCTTGATTTGAGAAAAGTTTAGTTCAAATCTCGAATCTGAAAGCGATACATGCAAAATACCTTTACGGAGATTCTCGAAGCCAAAATTTGCTAAAAGGATCAAAACAATTTTCAGGAGGATTTGTAAAAAAGTTGATAAACTTATTTGTATTTGGAACTTATTTGGTTTCTATTTGGTTTCTATTTGGTTTCTATTGAGCACCTGTTGGTTCCGATTTGGTTCACATTTGGTTCCGATTTGGTACCTATTTGGTACCTATTTGGTACACCCATTTATACAGGAGTGCGGCAAAAGTTCGGAGCCGCTATATAAGAAAACATTAATTGGGAAAAAACCGCTATGAAAACATGGTGCTCACTCAACTCTCAACGTTTGCGCTCAGTTTGTTTCCAGACTTTTGGGATAAGACCATTTTGGCCTTCAAATTCGCCAGATCTTAATCCCCTCGATTAACTCCGTTTGGGCTATTTTTTGGAAGGCAAGATCTCCATGAAGACGTATCAAACAGTGGATGCTTTAAAAATCTGCTCTGAAACGAGTCTGGGATGAAATAACTGTTTAAGCGTGCGCCTGCATCGTGAGGAACTTCTTAAAGCGTTTAAAGAGGTGTATCAAAGGCGAATGGTGGAAATTTTCCAGTTTGTTGTTATAAGTTATTTGTTGTCATGTTTCGAATAAAGAATTTGTTATTAATTTTTAACTTTTTTAAGCTAGTTTTTAAACCTTTAACTATCTTAAGAAGCGGCTGCAAGCTTTTGCCCCCACCCTGTATAACTATTTAGCAGTTCCTATTTGAGGTTCCTATTTGGTTCCCTGTTGGTTCCTATTTGGCTTGAGGTTCCTATTTGGTTCCTATTTGGCACCCATTTGCAAAACTATCTAGTACCCATTTGGTACCAATTTGGTACCCATTTGGTTTCAATTTGGCACCTCTTTTCCTTAATTGGTACCCATTTATATAACTATTTATCTTAAAACTCACCAATCGGCCATCCATTTCCGAGCAACATCAAAATGTTGAGGAAAAAACATGAAAACAACCGTACTTCACCACATCCATTATCTGGAATCAATGGTAATTTGAAAAGTTTTTAGTAAAAGGTATTTCACAGTTAAAATCTGAGCCGTGTGCTTTGTCTGTCTGTCTTGCATTTTATTTGTTCCCAGGGGCATTGGAAACAAAAAAAAGCACGCCCTGACTAAGAGACAAATCAAAGTGCTCAAAAATTTTCTCTTACCTGCTGGTTGACGAGTTTGGAATTGACGGAACGGGTCTCAAAAGTAAAGACAACAACAGCAAAATGTAGGCCTAAAGAATAATCCCCGTACGTTGAAATAAAGGGTGTTCAATATTTAAAAACACTTTTGAGTTTGCAGATTGTTTAGCGCTTTCCAGAATCCGGGTATGAAGAAATCATTAAAAAAGTTGAATTACAGAGTTAGGAGAAAAACATGAAATGCTCATTTACCTTTACTGTTTGACTCAATTTGTTTCTTTTCTTTCTTCCTTCCTTTCTTTCTTTCTTTTCTTTCTTTCTTTCCCCCCTCTCTTCCCACTCTTTCCCTAAACGGATTAAGGTACCAAGGATAGCTCAGTAGTTAGAGCAAAAGCAAAACACTTTGCGAGGAAAGCAAAAGGTCGAGAGCTAAATCTCATCTCCGGAAATCTACTTTTTCTTGCCAATTCCTTCACTTCTTTATAAGTTTGTGACAAGCTCGATGTACCCTACCTGAGCGAGCGCTTTCACGCGAGTTTCTAGACAAACATCAACAAGAAAGGCAAGCATTTTGATAAGTTTGATAAGTTACCTGAGCGAGCGCTTTCCACGCGAGTTTCTAGACAAACATCAACACGAAAGGCAATCATTTTGAAATAAAGTGACTTAAACTTGTTCAAGTATATATGTATTTGATCTCTTTCTTTTCTTTTTTAACATTCGATTTGTACAAAACGAGCTTTAAAGCCAGTGATCTATTGGTGATCTATTGGTGATCTATTGATGATCTATTGATGATCTATTGGTCTCCATAAATATTGAACAACCTGTAGTTTTCGTTTAAGCTACTCTAGCTATTTGTTTTACGTAGTAAATTCAATAACCGGAAACTCTAAAGTTCATTATAGTGAGAAAATGAACAAATTTCTCGTTGAAACGACCAAAACGACCCACCACTATCCTCATGATGTAGCACACGGTGTGAGTGACCTGAAATTTGCACTTAAGGTGTGAAAATGAGTAAAGCTTTTTGCTGTGTGCCCTAAATGAAACGTTTTCTAAAAGAAGAAGCTACTGTCCTTTAGCGAATTTTCCCAAAGCCAACCAGGCTTGACTTTTAAAACTTCGGTGATAAACTGGAACAGCTTAAAGTGAGGCTATTGTACCAAAAATGAAATTACGATCATTTTTCTTAAGCGCACCTTCTAGTGGTTGTGAAAATCAACGGCTTTTCGACAATCTATTTTTATTCAAACCTTATTCGAGTTCTTCAACAAATACGAGGCCAACGCGGCAGCCATGAATTGTCCTCCAACACAGCGAATCAAATGCCAATGCACGCCATCAGTTTCCCGTTGCTAGAAGGCTTTGTTTTTGCAAAGAATTGCACAATTTGCAAAAATGCACAATTTTATACTCTGCTATAGTGATTCTAGTTAAATCACATACAAAGATGAAATTCCCGGCAATATGTGGGACGGTGAAGAGGACGAGACCGAGCAGAAACGAGCCGACCGCATCGAGCGTCAGCCACAAGGTTGAGATCATTGATCTGGAGGAAAAATTGAAAAATGTTTGATAGAGTGTGTTTCTGAGAACAATGAGACTCTGCGATTTGAAAGTCTACAGGTGACGACGGTAGTCGAAAAGGTTTAAAAAGTAAATGATTGCATAAAACGAATTGAGTGCATTTATCTCAAATAATGCATAAAACAATGAAAGA